CCCCTCCTATCCCACCGGGGCAAGGGTGAGGTTAATAATAATAATAATCCCTGGGGAACCGACTACAAGATCGTAACCGGGAAACTAGGGGCCCGAGTCTCACCGGAACTCAAAGATGCCGAAACAGCAGAACGGATTGTTGACGGATTGTTTCCGACTCACCCGATTAGGACAAACGTGATGGATGATGTGGACGCACATATGCCCCCGCCTTTACCGCTGAGGAGCTCATCAGAACAACGAATGCGATGAAGACGGGTAAGGCACCGGGACCGGACGGAGTACCATCCGAGATCCTCCGGCTTGTGGCTCGTCTACGGCCGGAGATATTCCTTGACCTGTACAACACGTGTTTGACGACAGGAACGTTCAGCGACCGGTGGAAGGTGGCAAGGCTCGTTCTTATTCCAAAAGGTAGGAGCGATCCTGGCACGCCTTCGGCTTACCGACCGTTGAGTTTACTTGACACGACTGGTAAACTCTTTGAACAACTACTGAGACCGAGACTGATGGATGCGATACAGACCGGAGGGGGTTTATCAGATTTGTAGTTCAGTTTCAGGAGGGGTCGATCGACGATTGGAGCGATCCAAAAGGTGGTCGACTCTTTACTGGAACTAGACAGACATTGCCACGCAGCGCGACCGATAGTGACGCTCGACATTAGGAATGCTTTCAATTAGGCCAGGTGGAAGGATATCTTGGAGTCGTTGAAAAGCAACTTAGGGATCCAGCCATATCTGCTTCGGGTTGTGGAGAATTATCTAAAAAACAGATGGATAACATACGAGACGATCGAAGGACAAGTAACGAGACAGGTCACCGCTGGGGTGGCACAGAGGTCGATAGTGGGACCTGACTTCTGTGATGGATTATACGATAGCTTGCTTCGACTTGGAATGCAGCTCGGAGTGACCTTCGTCGCCTACGCTGATGACGTGGCGGCGGTGATTACGGAGAGATCCCCGAGCTGGCGCAGCTGGTGTTGAACCAGACCATGAGACGAGTCGGACGATGAATGACAGACCACGGACTAAAACTCGCAACGGAAAAAACGGAAATGATGTTTCTCACGAGAAGCGCATACAGACGATACTGCTCATGAGGGTGGGGACATGCGAGATGGAGACCAAGAGGGAAGTCAAGTACCTTGGGGTAATCCTCGATATATACGAAGATAACCTTCTAGCCTCAAATACAGAAAACAACCCGGAAAGCGGCAGAGAGGATAGCATCCTTGAGTCGCTTGATAGCAAATACGACAGGACCGAGATCGGGAAAACGACGACTGTTAATGGCGACAGCTCACTCGATCCTTCTATACGGCTCGGAAATATGGGCAGACTCCATGAAGACAAAGAAATACTGTAAGTCGATAATGATGGTACAGAGACAGGGCGCACTGCGAATCGCTTGCTCCTACCGAACAGTTTCGGTGCAGGCTGTTTTGGTGGTAGCTGGCATAATACCCGTGGATCTTCTGGCCTTTGAACGCAAAAGGATCTACGGGAGCAGCGCGGACATAGGCCGAAAGAACGCGGCAATCGCTGAGCGCGACAGGACAATTGACATTTGACAAGACCGATGGACAGAGGTACGAGGTGGTAACTGGTCGAGACGATTGATACGGGACTTGAGGCTGTGGCTCGGAAGGAAATTTGGTGATGTTGTAAATTTCTACGTCACCCAGCTCTTGACGGGCCACGGGTACTTCCGGCGGTACCTCTACAATATGAACAGACTACGAACACCCGATTGTAAGTACTGTGGACATGAACGAGACGACGCGGAACACACGTTTTTCGCGTGTGACCGCTGAACAAGACTCAGCTAGGAACTGGAAGAAACGGTCGGCAGCATCACTCCCGATAACATCGTGGCTCTGATGCTGTGTGAACCCGAATGGTGGCGCTTAGTCGCTACCTATACGGAAACTATACTAAGACGTAAGAACACAGACAGCTGCCTGACAGATGATTGAGCAGACGAAGTGACGCGACGTAACGAGATACGGAGGAACGACACGAACGGACGAACACAGACAGAACCCCTAGTCTGAAGTAATATCAACATAGTCCCTGGCTGGGGGAAGGACACCAAGGAGATGGCGGTTTAGTGGGTAGGCCTATTTTTTTTTTTTTTTTCGAGGAATCCCACATAGCCCCTCAGTCAGAAAGACTAAGGGGAATCCGCAAAAAGGCTTCCGCAACTCCTTGTAAAAAAAAATAATAATAATAACCCAATACCCAAGATAAATAAAAGTTTGATTGTGAAGGTCGTTTTTGATTTAATCATTACGTGTGTTCGTGCCACATTTAGTAATGTTAACCAATCTAACCAATGTATGCAAAGAAGGAGTGTCCAGTCTATCTAGGCAAGGTGAGAATGCTGAGCCGATCAAGACAAGACGTTGGCTACCCAGCCAATAAATGCAAGATATTAATTACCCAGCCAATTAAGACAAGTGGGAATGCCCAGTCAATGAAGGCGAGGTATTGATTACCCAGCTAATTAAGATAAGGAGGGAATGCCTAGCCAATAAAAACAAGACGATACTACAGATAGAGGATGATCAAGGTTCTAACACAAACATTTGTCTCTTAAAATGTTCCAAAATACCGCCGTTCAAATTTATGCAGTGTTGAATTCTACGTTCGAAGTTTCCAACTGTGGACAACAAAACGTGACGCGGAATAGCTCTACAAGCTTGTATGATACGCTGCATCATATCTTGCCGTGTTGTTGGTTGCTGTGCATAAACAACGCTTTTCAAATAGCCCCATAAAATGTAATCTGGACTTGTTAGATCTGATGATTTTGGACACCACTCAGTAATGTCACTACCAATGCCTATCCATCGTCTTTGGTATCGTTGGTTCAAGAAGTGACGAACTATTAGTGAGCGGTGACATGGTGCACCGTCCTGTTGAAGCCATAATCGTCGTCTTGTTTCCAAGTCCACATCTTCCAATAATTCCGGTAATTCATTCTGCAGGAAATTAAGGTATGCTGCGCCGTTGACATTTCCATAAAAAAAATAAGGTCCTATCAGATAACCACTTATTATACCGCACTACACTACGAGGCTCCATCTATGCTGATTATTAACATGGCGTACCCAATGAGGGTTCTAGATAGACCAATAATGACTATTATGGCGATTCAGTTGTCCATTATTATGAAATGTAGCTTCGTCCGAAAACATTACGTATCTGAAAGATTCAGGATCTTCATGAATCCTTGCTTGTGCCCAATTACAGAATTCGAGTCTGCGGCAGAGATCATCTGGCATCAAAGCTTGAGTCAAAGTTATGTGATACGGATGAAATCTGTACAGCCGCAAAAATCTAGCGGCTGTTGTTCTTGGGATTCCAGTACGTCTCTGAATTTCACGCAAAGAGATATGATGATCCAAATCAACCATTGCCAAAACAACGAGAATTTGTGGATCATCTTGTTCTGTCTCATAATGCGACGACGATTTCTGCGTATTCGTGGTCGACGTCTCTCTCTTCGTTCAATTTTTCGGATTCTCAAGTAGTTTGGGTACCGAAGCCTCCCTGGGTAACTTTGACGGTAATACTTGCTGCAGCACGATATTGGCCTTAACATGCCCCGAGAGATAACAGAATGTCAACAATTTCGTTTCTCGAATAATCTGGCATATTTGGCCCTTTTGAGTCGCAAGACACTAAGGAATTTCCACGTGAACTATCCTGAGAACTGTTCACGAGTCACCTCTTTAATAAATAATACTAAAGAAGTGTTATTTTCTGATTTAGTTGAAACTCTATAATCTTATCCGGAATCACACCAGAAAAGAGAATAAAAATAATTTGTTTTCCTACAAAATTATTTTCAAAAATTGATTCTACGGAAAAAAAATGAAAGAAACGTATGTAACGTTTTTTTGTCAGACTTCAAATGATTACCTTTCGATAATTTGTATAAATAACTTTTGATCAATAATTGTAAATGGCAAAAGAAAAAACACGGGTATTTTTTTTCGATTTACCTACGATTGACATAGTTAGTTTGACGAAATCTTGCCCAGGTTTGGCAAGGGCCTTAATGAATTAAGACAATGTGGAAGTGACTAGTTTAACTTTCTTTCCAAATCCGAAATTAAAAAATGAGGTGTTTTGTGTAGTCGACTTGGTAGCCAGCCAAGTTAGGCAAACTTGTTAATAATATTTTCCATTTTTTTATCTATTTTTCAAGGCTTTATTCAAGGATTCATTCAAGATTTATTGAAGATTACGTACAATTTTATTTCATTTAATTAATGAAAGCTTACTTTCCATTTTTTAGCTTAGACCCCGTGTAAACTTCCTAATTGTTGACATTCTGTAATCTCTCGGGGCGTATTTGTGGTTGACGTCTCTCTCTTCGTTCAATGATTCGGATTCTCCCATGGTTTGGGACCGAAGCCTCCCTGGGTAATTTTGACGGTCAAGGCCGATATCATGCTGCAGCAAGATACTACCGTCCAGTTATTGGGCTAGGGGAGGCAAGATATTACCAGCAAGTTATTGAGTTATTACAATTAATCTTACCCTTGCCCGATCATCCCTGTGCTTAGATGAAGAAAATAATAAATTTGACCCCTACATGACCTTACGGGGGGGGGGGGGTGTTAACGGCACTCCACACATAATACCTTATCTGAACCTAGAATTTCTCGCTCTTTCCGAATCCTGGATCAAAATTATAGGTTCCTATTCAAAAAAAGACTTTGTCCTTCAAATGACCTTGAAAATAAATCTCAATGTCAAATCCGATTTCGGGGGAAAAGTATCCCTCATTGTTCCAAACAACTTTTGTCTGAACAATTTTTTTGTAGAACGCCAACCGTCGAAATTTTCGGGGTGGTTCCTTTAAAATGGGACAACCTGTATATTACGTTATTTGAAAAACAATTATTCGAAGTTTATTCAATCCAATTGTATGTTATTTCATGCATTTTTATTTCAATGTTTTTATTATTACAATTTTTTTAGCCACAACAGGGTTACGAAGACGGAGGTGATGATTGTATTGTTCCAAGTACTCCGACTTTATTTGTTCCAAGACGAAACGACGGATTCGGTGAAGCTGTTAGTTCACCTCAAGTACCCTCAAGATTTACATTTGGAGAACCGTCAAATCCTGCATTAGCATCAACGACTCAATCGCATTCAACAAATACTATGAGTGGAGCTAGAGCGATATTTAGTTCTACACCGTCTGAATTAGCACAAGTCGTTGAAGAAGGTATGGATGATACTCGCATTGATCTCACTCAACTAGATGATAATAGAACTGGTCGAAGTGTGCCTACTACCCCTCGACAAGTTTCACCTAATACAGAACAACAAGAATCGGTAAGATATAAGTGAAAAGTGGTGTTTATAATGATTTGTTATTCAAGTATTATAAAGATTGCTGAAAATAACATCTTCCTACATTGTTCCTAACATTGATCACTTTATTCAGGATAAATTCTGTTTTCATTCGATAATGTTGTACTTTATTAGTGTAAATAAGTAAGGAAAGAAAAAAACTTTTTGATGTTTCATTAACAAATTAGTTAATGTCTTCAGAAAAAACAACAATCCGCAATTACTGTGATCAAAACAAACAATAAATTCGAAAATAGAGTCACAGGCTGCATTACAAATCACAATTCTCGATTTTCCCTTTATAAAACTAATTCTTTTTTTGTCGGTCTCTATTAATTTGTGATGTGGTCGAACGCTATTTGGAGAAAAACGAGATTTCCCGCGAGCAGTGCAATGGTGCTCGGGTCCTGGCATTGTATCACTAATTATTTAAAGAGGAAAGTGTAGGAGGCGCTTTCGCTCCACTGCAAGGCCACGGTAGATCTCTCGTCAGTTGAATTAATAGGCTGCGTTAGCTGTTGAGAAAAGAGAGGAAGGATACGAGGAATAAGGAGACGAAATTTCCAAAATCAATCGCTCTTTATTCTTAAATAGTTGTCCTCAAGTGGATGCGACTTCACGCATCACACTCATCGCCGTGTGCCCTACTTGTGCATATGCACGTACAGAGAAGCAACCATAAATTGTAAATGAGAGAGATGAGAGGGGACGCCGCCGGCTCTCACTAAAGTGTCTGCAAATAAATACACAAACACACGCTTCGTCGCTGCGCGGACACTCGCGTAAGAGAGAGAATGAAAGAGCCTGATTTGAGCGAGATTTGTCTGGTGATCTGCTGGCGTGCTGGTAGCCAGATCATCACCAAGAGCCGCTGAGCCAAAGACTGATCAGGGTACCATTGGAAATCTTCCCTCGCGTTTCTTAATGCCTATGCATCTGTGACGTCGAAGTCACTCTGAGGTACGCTTGGAGTAAGCATAGACTCAGGGTTTCTCTAATTTGGCTTGTGCGTAACACTTTAGCCGGGACGAGCAATATTGTTGCTCCAGAAATTCCTAATTATGGGGATAATAATAACCAAATGTTGTTAAGAGCACACCAGACTTCTAGCTTAATGTGCTCTAAAGGGGGCTTGAATGGAAATCCACCAGACTCAGGCTTAATGGATCTCCGAAAAGTGATAACTATTACGGAAGGAAAAGATAACCAAATAAATTTTGTAACTTACTCTTTTTTATTTGTTTCGAAATAAGGAAGATTTCTTTCTTTAAAATCACTCTTGCTCTCTCTATCTTGCTCTCGCTCTCTTTAAATCCGGCTAGTTTCCTTTGGGCTGACGATGTTTCTTAAAGTAGTTTTAGCTCCTTGAACTTGAATTCGACTTTACTAAATTTCACTGGACTTCTTAAATAACTTGAACTTCTCTAATAACTTGAACTTGAAAATAATCTGACTTTATTAATTTTCACTAGACTTCTGAAATAACTTGAACTTGAATCTGAGTTTATTAATTTCCACTGAACTTCTTAAAATAATCTAACTTTATTAATTTTCACTAGACTTCTTAAAATAATCTGACTTTATTAATTTTCACTAGACTGCTTATCGCGGCCTTGTGTAGGGCTTTTTATAACCTGGGGGCGGTTGGGTGGAAATCCCCTTCTTCAGGCCCATGGAGTGACAAACTCAAAGTTTTCTGTATTGGCCGAAGGATTTTCTTAGTCGAACCGGAATACATAATTGATCGGAGGGCGTGAGTTTTCAGAGAGAGAGGGTGGTTCTTTTCTAAACTTGGGCCCTTTTCTCCAGAGATAGCTCTTAGAGTTTCATTTTTTTGAGAACAAGAGTGACGCTATTATTTTTAATTAATTAACGCAAACGAATGTTAATCAGAGTACATAATTGTAATTTTACATTATCACTTAATACTAGGGAATCGATTACAAGTTGAAATAATACTAAAAATGTAAAAATTGTATGGTTAATTATTATAAACGAATTTATAATATTTGTGAATTTGTCTCTACTTAGTGTTACGTTATTAGTTACTATAGACTATTGTTGCTTATGATACTATTATTTTACTTCAATTGTATATTTTGATGTTTGAAAATGGTGAGTCGATAAAAGAATGAGGAGAGCCACAAATAATTATTTATAATAGAAGGTGAAAGGTTAATTTTTATAATTTCAATATTTCTATTTCATTCTCTTTGAATGGTAAAAAATTTTTTTGTCTTCTTAAAATACAAGAATTCGGTGGGAAAAATTAGAACGGGAAACAGATTGCAGTTTTATGGCCCTCTTCTCTCATCAAAATCTCAGCGCTCACGTGTTCGGAAGCTGCATGCACTTCATATGTAAGTGTGAAGGTACGAAGGGCAGAATAGCGTATTGAAAAAATGAATGCACGCTTGTATAAATTTAGACTATAGATTCTATTGCTTGGAGACTATCAAGAAGAATTTCCCTGCGACACTCGGCTCGGTTCCCACAGCTCATGGGAAGCGGTTTCAACTCTGCCGTTGGTCTTAGAAAAATTATTCTTGTGAAATTTAAAAATTTTAATCATTTATGGCCCGCCGTCACATATCCCTTTCTTGGTGCGACGCCGGGGGCTACTTATAAGTGCAAGCCTATTGCTCACTCTCCCTAATTTTTCTTCAAAATTTCTCTTTCTCCAATGTTATTTCCCTCTTAAATTTGCATTCCGCGCGTGTCCCACTTCCTCCTGTCTGTCTTCAGCCTCTCCCTCCGATGATTAGCTTCCTCGTCGATGCTCCTCGACCATCGGCCATAGTTCGGTACTATTGCACTCAATGAGCTGTGACGAAGCGAGGGAAAGAAAGAGAGCCAAACAGGGTACGCTAAACACAGCCAAAACCTCTATTACAATTTTAATATAATTTTTTTAATTACCAGAATATAATTGGTAAATATGCTTAATATTGTTGATTTTAATGCTTCAAGCGCATTTAAGGGGATCAGCTGCTGATAACAATGAAAATTAGGAAGTTTCTTTACTGAGGTGAAGAAATCGTTCTAATAAAATTATCATTATTAACATTTTTTTATCGTTAAGAATTCGATAAAGGCTTTTATTTTCTTCTTTTTATGTTCCAAAATTTCAATTACATACTCTAAAAAGTACTGTCCACCGTAACACCTTATTTTTTTATAGTTTGCTATGCTTTCCCCAACGTTAGAGTAAATGAAAATCATTTTTAAACTAATCATTTTCTTTTTCTAAATCAGTAGAATTTTACCATTATACAGAAATTTTACAAATTTTTTCAAAAAATGGTAAAATTGACTACTTCGAAAAATCCTACACTTAATCTGTAGTACTGATCTAAAGAAAGAAAATGAGCCTTTAACGATGGATTTCGTTCACTCTCTCGTTTACATAAGCGTGGCAAATAAAATTAAAAAAAAAATAATGTTATGGTTTAAAGTTCATGTTAATTTCTAGAATATGTAATTGAGATTTGGGGGGCTTCAAAAGAACAAAAGGAAAGCATTAATCGAGTAGTTCACGATGAAAAATGTTCATGATGATAACTTTATTATAATGGTTTTTACACCACAATAAAAAAAATAGAGGTACGTAAGTAGGGTAAAGTGGAAATAGGGTAGAGTTGAAAATGTTACTTTCCGGATAAACTATGAAAGTTTATTTGTCATGCGCTACTGACATGAATTTATTATAACTGTAAGCAAATTTTTATGGTATACTGACGCATGCAGACGTATTTTTGTACTCTTTAAAATTTTGTAAAGTTTTTAAAAAATTTCTTACTTCACCCCACTTATTTCTACTTATAATTTTTGCTGTTAACTAACTAGCACGTATGTTTTAACTCATTGCTAGCGTCCACGTCGTCGATTATAGTCTACGTATATTTCAGCTTAAGGGGAGGGGGGATGTCTACCTTCGAGTAGCACGTAGAGTAGAAGTAGCTGAACGTTTCTTTCTTGGTGAACGTGAAAAGGATATGGTTGATAGGACGCATACTGGTCTCTCTAGGAATTGTTAAGGCGATTGCAAAGCCCTCTTTGAGTTCTATAGCTACCCTTTTGGTAATGAGGTTAGTGTTTCGTTTTTACTTATCTTGAGACAAAGACTTCTGATAACCCTCTTCGTCCATCCAACTACCCACATTCCTCAAGCACTTTAGTTAATTGTGTAGTAGTATTTTGTTTGTAATTAATAGACATTAATTTTGTCTAATACAACGGTAGTCGATTCGATTAATCTATCCGTTCACGATTCGTTTACTCGCCATATTAGTTTGAGAGAAAGAGGGCGCGCAAGGTTTTGAAAATAGGCAGTTAAGCCTCAGCTCACGAGAATACCGCCAGTATAGTATTTTGCACTGTGTTTCACCGTTAGTTTATAAATCGAAGGTTGGATTTTGATACGTGCGTGAGTGCAGCGAGCAAGCAGTAGTAGATATTTGAATCGAGGCAGCGCAGCTGAGTAATCTGAGGAGCGCCTTTAAACTTCGCTTCAACAATTACGGCTGATCACCGTAATTGCACCGCAAGGTAGATGCACCTCCCTTTATTATTGCGCGACAAAATACTTTCGAAAGTAATTTGTCAACCGCAAGCGTAAATTTTTGTATTCGCGCCGAGTATTAGATTTCGCGGCAATTTTCGAATTCTCTGTGTAAGAAATTATTTTTTCAGTCTGTAAGGATTATTCGTGAATGTATGTGTAGTTTGTGAAAGGATATGAAATAATGAATGCGTAGTTTAGGCCAATATGATCGATATATTATAGGCCTAAAAAATTGGGAATAAACTCCACAAGGTTCGGTTAGGTTTGCATGTAAGCGAGAACGGAAACCACCTAAATGGAGAAATACCCTTCGTTGATTTACATTGATAAAATACAAACGAATATTGTGATAACATGCGATCAATCGTTATGTAAAGAAATAGAAACGTGTTATGATTTTATTGATTACAATTGATAC